TTCCAATCTTTCAATTTCCATTTCAAAAAAACTAAATGTAGACTTAGGTAGCCCTGTTTTTTTGTTAACAACGTGATGGTCCCATACACCGATTAATGATGTTACTTTTCCTCGCGCACCAGCTGTCAAAGAAAAAAAAAATAATAATTGTTAATCGTGGAATATATATATATATGTTATTATTAAAAAAATGACAAACCTTCTTCATTTGTTTCTCTTATTGCCGCTTCTTGTTTAATTAGAATGTCGCAAAAAAAACCCAACATAGTTACTTTGAGATAGTACTTGCGCGGTGTTTTCAATCCAAAGAAATTAGATAAATAAGCACAATATTTGTGGAATTTTATTGATAAAAATCTGATCATAGTAAAATGATAATATAGTGTGCGTTCTAACACTTAATAATTAACGTATTCAGATTTACATTAACTTATATAGTTTATTATTAATCTTAACTGTATGTTTTTTAAAAAAATTTGATTGGATGATTGACGATTGACATATGACATTTGACATATGACATTCACTCAACATGTCAATGTAATATCCAACGGGTTTTAGTAATCTCTTCCGACCGATGGAGTCCCAAGAACTCGTTACCCTCACAGTTGATCACCTTCTCAAGTTTAAAGCTGCGAAAAATTTTTATGAGAATTCACAACCAATTACCTCTTTAGACTTCGATGACACAGGCGAATTTTGCGTAACTGCCTCGGCTGATGATTCGATTAACCTTTACAATTGCCTTCAAGGAAGGTGAGAAACGCGATCCTGCCTTTTATTATAAATTTTTTTTGCCATTTTTATTTATTTATTCACTTTATTTTTGAGTTTCCCTTCAAAGAACGCGTAAATTGTTATTGACATATCGTAATTTTATAAGTCATAAGATTATCAGAATTTTTTGATTATCCAATTTTAAGCGTGTCCATTTAGCTTTGCTTATAAATAAACTTTAATGTATATTATTTAATTAAGAAATTCAACGATGCTAATCTATATCTTATACATCATATATTTATGAAAGGCACAAAAAATTATTGTATAGTAAAAAATTTGGAATACACCTTGTTAGATTCACGCATTTAAACACTAATATCATATACTCATCGACCAAAGAAAACGGTAACTGGTTCGCCATCAATTAAGTTTTTCTTTTATCAATAAGATTGAAATTTATTTTCAAAAAAAAATTTTTTTAAACTTAAAATTTTCAATTTTGACCAGATACGTTAAGATATTTGTCGTTACATGTCAACCAATACATAAGATACTTTGAGGGGCATCAAAATAGGTAACCGTTCATAAATTTATCATATGCCAAGTCCAATTAAAACTAATTCTTATTTAAAACTTGATAATAGAGTGGTCTCCTTGGAGATGTCTCCCTCTAATGACCTGTTCTTATCTGGAAGTATAAACGAAGGAGTAAAATTATGGGACTTAAGACAACCTAATGAAATTGTACCGATCATAAATTAATCGTTGATTGTTTCGGTTCAAAATTTAGTACTATCTTTAAACTATCTTTAAAATAATATTTATTATAGGGTTACCTTCACATTCAAGCAGGGAGGCCTTGCGTAGCATTCGATCCCTCTGGACGCGTGTTCGCGATTGGTCTTCAGAATCTTGATAACTCTGTACGGTTGTATGATGTGCGACAAT